CCGGGTGAACGTTGATTCCAACTATTTAAGCGACGGGCTATTCAGAACTATCAAAAGTATGTGGAAAAAGTGTAAACTGAACAAGTTTTTTTTTTTTAATTTTCAAAGGGTCAGATTTTTTGTTTTTCTCGGGAGAAAGTCGACTTTCGCCAAAATCGAATTTTTTAGCCGGGTGAACGTTGATTCCAACTATTTAAGCGACGGGCTATTCAGAACTCTTAAAAGTATGTGGAAAAAGTTAAAACTGAAAAAAAAAATTTTTCACCGGGGGCCACAGGGTCAGATTTTCGGTTTTTACTTGGAACAATGGTCAGATTTGTTAACACTTTCATTTTTTATTTGGATAATGCATGCAAGCGGAGGGGCAAAAGTGGCTAGAATAGATTCTGCAACCTTCTCCCCTGGTTGGGTAAAAATGTCAAGCCTCCACATACATGCATCTCCCCTCCACCCTCTCGTGAAATGTCGATTTTCGAGATTAAAAAGAAAACAATAATTGCATTTTTTATTTCAATAACGCATGAGTAAACAGGGATATGAACGCAGATTTAATATAGGCCCATAGAATTACGGGGACCGGCAAGGATTTGGAAAGTCTGAATACAAGTCCTGCTTACACCTAACAAGTGCTGAAATGGGACATAACAAGAGGTAGAAAGGTCTCGGAAGCACTTGGGAAGAGGCTTCCCAAGACCTATCCAGTTCTGAACGGAAAGACCCAAGTCGAACTTGTCAGGTCCAATTATTCGACTCGGGGCTCTCTTACGTTAATGAATAAGCAACCTATTATTTTATAAATCGTTTGACACCAGAATCTACCCATTTTGATGGAGAAAACCTCTATTTCCGGTTTAGAAATGCTCCCTTCGGGTAAAACAGCCATGTGGCTGATTCAAAACCCTCCATTTCCCTTGTTCTATTTTTGGTGGATCATATCCACGATTCTAATGCGTTAAAAATGGCGAAACCACGGAAAATAATTATAAATGCTCTCTAAAATCTAGAATTCGAATAATTATCGCCCGAAAATAGAAAATTACATATATTTTGCCTAGTTCTCTCGATTTCGCGTAGCTACCCAGTTCGTTTTCTCTCGCACTCATGCTGCCTCCCAGCATCCTCTCTCTCTCGGATTCATGTCCACCTGGTGGACAATACTTTTGCCTCTGCGTATCAGCTTGGGTTGCGATCGCTTCTTTTCCATACTTAAAATTACTATTCGCATATTTTCCAATCTTTCGGATTTTAATGGATCATTTTAGAGTATTTGAAATTATTTTGAATCACATTGATGTCATTTTATATTTGCTAGAATTTACGATTTTGTATTAATTCTGGCAATAACGGAGCCAAACGTGGCTCCGCGTTAGAGCGGTTGATGTACTGAATTGTTAATAAATGTTAATTGTCCTTGACAATTGTCTCTGATAATTCATTGAATTTGAGGCGATGTACTTTCATGTGATGCGTCGGTGATGTACTGTAAACGACACAACACGTTGATTCTACAAAGGCTGATGATGTACTGAATTTCGGGGTTTTCGCGATCGTCTGACCGCTCAACCGACATTTGATATTCCAAATTTTTATTTTTTTCCTCATTGAAGTAGTTTTGAAGAAAATTGCGAGCTAATAAAAAACATTTGCTAGTTAGTACTTTTTTAAAAATAAATTTTTGAAAAATCACCCCTGAAAAAAAAGGCGTTATCCCCCCTATTTCATTATTTCCAAAAAATTTTATCACCAATTGGTAGCAAATTGTTTGAAGATTTTTGCGAGTTAAGAAAAAATCGTCAATGCACTCCTATTATTGTGTAAATTAACAATTCCAATTTCAACTGAAAACCAGAGTTGATGACCAGAGTTAATAGCAGAGATGTCAGACAAGATATAAATGTTTTTTTTGGCTCAAATGAAAGAGCGGGTCGAGAAATGGCGTACTAGGGCCTCTAAACAAGACAAATGTCTCTAAAGATGATATCTGTTTTCAATTGAAAAGCAGAGTTGTGACATCATTGTCTAGGAGGACAATGGGGTCTAGGAGTATGTATAGAACATTGGGGTCTAGGAGTCTCCCCTGGTTCAAAACCATCTTTAGAGGTCCTAGCATGCCATTTCTCGACCCGCTCTTTCATTTGAGCCCAAAAAACATTCATATCTTGTCTGACATCTTTGCTACAAACTCGGGTCTTCAACTCGGGCTTTCAATTGAAGGCCCAAATTTAATTAAGTTTCCAAATTTTGGTGTCAGGGTAACTAAATATGGTCTAAAAAGTCTAAATATGCTATTTTTAAATGGTGTCTGTATGTATGTATGTGCATTTTTTTTTCATTTTTTTTCCGCAATTTTCTTTATAGGAGCTTCATGAAATTTCATGAATTTTTCGATGGATATAGACGTTAATAGGCTCTATTCATCGACACCAATTAAAGTTGAATTATTCATAAAGTTTGTGAAATATTGGTATTGTGTCAAAAACCGATTTTTCGACGCTCAGTCCAAGAATTGTTATCAGAATGAAATGAATCATGGCTTAAAAAATTTGTATTGATAGCCTCTTGATTCTGGCAGAATATGATGGTTGTGAGATTTTTATTTTTTTATTTTTTTCATGATAAACTGGAAAAATTAAGTCATATCAATGAAATCCATGGCTCAAAAAGATTGTTTTGATGCTTTCTCGATGAAGTGCAAAGATGATGAAAAGAGCATAACTATTTATTAAGTTGCATAGTAGCAATGTGAAGATTTACGTCATATGGGAATCATATATGGATTATATGGGGTCATATAAAAGTTGTACGGAGGCATATGGGGGTTATATGAGGTCATATCGTGTCATAATGGGCTCATATGGGGTTCATATGGGGGTGTATGAAGTGATATGGGTTCATATGAGGTTCATATAGGGTTATATGGAGGTCATATGGAGTCCATTGGAGCCATATATAGGCGTTAAATGAGAGTCATATGGGTGTCACTATTGGAAACAATAAAAAATAAGAGTAATAAATTTCAAAAATAGAGAATCCATTCGGAAGCATATTGCTAATTTGTTAGCAACATAAACGATACCCATATATAGAAAATGCGATTATCCACTTGTTTATATCATTTTTCTATTTTCATAAATAGGATCAATAACGGGTTACTTTGATAAATTTGTAAGAATTGATTGAAAATTCAAAATAACTCATTAATTGTCCACTCATCATTGATCTCCTTCTTTGATTTTCTTCATATTCACCATTCTTTTTGCCCTGTATTTGTCAGGGTGATGAAATTTCATGGGTCTTAGGAGGCAAGTTCAGTGCACGCGACACCACGCGCCCGGTCAAGTAATGCAGAAATTTAATATACTGGTTCATGCATAAGAATGCACATAACTCACTGTATGTCCCTGGAAGCTCTTGATAGGTTTATCCACATGAAGTTTACACACGTGAATACACTGGTCCGTTGAACAACTGGCGAATGAAGTATTCGTTTGCCAATCAACGTCCAATGCAGGCGCACAATGGAAACTGAACTGTTGAGTGCATTGCCCACTAGCAGCGTCCCAAATAATCGTTGTCCTGTCAACACCAGCGCTAAGAATGTAATTCCCACGTTTGTTCCATTTCAGGGCGAATATGGGACCCTTGTGCTGTCCTAATGTAGAGGATAATCTGCCGTCTGTCGTCCAGATTCTTGCATAACCGTCATAACTACCTGTTGCCAACAAGGTACCATCGCACTGAAAGTGAAACCGGCATCATCAATGAAGAAATTATCATGTAGCGGAGTTATATATGATGGATTCAGAATTTTCATACAGACAATTTTTTAAATATGTCTACGACTAATGAGTTTACAGAAAAATGTCATGACCTTTTTTATAATCGATGAAATTTATGACAAACGACATTTCCTTATCTTTCGAGAATATCTTCAAAAAAGTCTGCAACGTCATTTATGTACCATTTTCTTTCATTTCAAAAGAGAACTAATGGAAGGGAACCCACTAAGGGAAGCATACCGGTCGTCAGTGACATATTTAAAACATTTAGATAGATACATTATACATTCGAACTGTCGAAGAGGCAAAAATAAAGTGTAAAATAAACAAAGTAACAGACGTTTTACATTTTTTCAAATACATTTTTCTACGTTTGCTTTAACCCTAGACTGGTCGCCATGCGAGGGAATTGCCGCAGCACGTCGTTTTATTCACCTTGAATATAAGCCAAGGATATACTGAAGCATATATGACCAATTACGAGTTAAATCGACAGCTTGCCGATCAATTCCCTACTTTTGCTTTTGTCGAATTGAAGCATTGAAATCGGTTGTTTAGATTTTCTAATTTTGCTTGGTAATAATGTAGAATGATCTAAAACACAAAAATAGGAATTTTGAAGACTATGTGTTTATGTGCGTCTGTCCACCTGGTAGCCGAATATTAAAAAATCAAAGAATTAAAGGACAAAAATCATTCCAAAAAAATTCAACTTTTTTCAGATTATAGGTATTAATGAGGAATAAATCTGTGTTCATTTTCAGCCCAATCGATCCGGCCGTTTTGGAAAAATCGGCACTTGTTTCTAAATCGTTTTTCGCAAATATTTTGAGAACTGTCCAACCAATTTTATTTTTTTTTAAATATTCTTCCCGATGTCTGCTATCGCAATGAATAAAAATATATATGCCAATTTGTACCTAGTGTTTAAAATATTTCCAATTTTTGGTTTTTGCTCAAAATTGTTCTTTACACATCAACAAAAGAAAAAATGTATTAATTTGAAGTTTGCTATGAAGTGGCCTCCTCGAACTGTAATATTACGTGCTGAACATGAACGGAATCGGATAGTTAGTCCTGGAGATAATCAACTTTGTATGTAAATTCATCTCATTGGATATCATGACAAATGCTGAAACAATTTTTTTATCGCATAAGAATTTATATAACAACCGAAATGGAATCATTCAGAAGCTTTCCATCAACTTATTGATGACAAAAAAAGACAAACACAGTTCTAAGTAGAACGAAGATGTTACCTGCTTGTCTTTTTTTTTAAGGAAAACTGCGATCTTTCAAATTGTCATCCTAGTAATTGAACAACATCTGAGATGATTCTGCTCCAGATTCAGTTAAACTTGAATTATACGGAAACGCATTGTAAACACGTAATTAGAACAACAAATTCAAATCTCATCGGTCCTCCACGGAAATTTTAACATGGCTTGTCATGAGGTTCTTCAACATCCGATTCGCACATAGAAGAATTATCATTAGGTGTGTAACTTAATCTTTCCGTTTTTTTCATTAAGTACGGTCTTATTTAAAATTTAAATATTTACGCGTTCATTTGCGATTTTCTAGAGTAAACCTTACTGTTTTTAATACGCTATTTGTCATGCCTAGAAGAGCTGTCTAACGCGGCCAACGTATGAACACGTGTCTTTTATTGCTCGCCAAGGGCCAGAAGAAAATTTTTTTGTCAAAAATTGTGACAGGGGCTGAAAAAAATATTTTTTTTGCTAATCCCAAACGAAAAAAGTCAAGGGTGGATCCTGAACAACCATCGGCATCCACTCCCCAACAAAAAGTTCACATAAAGAAGGTTATCCTCTGCATCTGGTCAGATATGAAGGGTGCTCTATTACGGACTTTGGAAACGGGTCAGACAGTTACTGCAGAACGCTACAGTCGACAATTGAACAAATTGAACGAGGTACTTGATGAGAAGAGGCCATTTACTGGGCAAGGGAGCCGGAACTTCATGTTGCTCCATGATAACGCTCGACGTCATGTTGCTCGCGCGACACAGAAAACGATTTTAAGCTTGGGCTGGGAGATTGTCCCGCACGCGGCTTATTCAACGGACTTCGCCCCTTCCGATTACCATCTGTTCCGGTCCATGCAGCACCCCTTGGAGGTAAAGCGCTTCCAAATTCTGGACGATATACGAAAATTCGTCAATAACTTCATCGCTTCAAAGCCTGCAATTTTTTTCGCGATGTCATTCGTATGTTGCCCGATCTAGTACTTATATATTCTATAATGTTACATATTTTTTTATAAAAAAACGGAAAGATTATGTTATACACCTAATATAATGTCTACAAAAATCGAAATTTCGTATCTCCAGTTTCTACCTTCATCGAATTAAACTTACATTCCAGTCAAGAGAAGTAACATCCTTATTGCTAGGTACTTCTGTGCCACCTCTCTGAATGCAATGACGAAGAACCAATTGGTTCGGAGCCTGGGAATTATCCGACATATCCCAAATACGTGCTGTGCTGTCACCTGAACCAGAGGCTAATAGGTCAGTCGTTGGATTCCAGGCGCAGATGAAGACTTCTGACTCGTGTCCACGTAATTTTGTAGCTTTGCTCGCTGGAATTTCCACTGCACTCGGAGTACTACCAGCCCCCACACCCTCACGTTGTTCATCAACTTCCATCTCTGCACAATCACCACCTCGCTCTGCCCCAGCTACGTTGTCATTCGAAGCAACAACTAAAAAAGACAATTTTAATATTCTATGTAGACCTAAATAATGGGAGGAAAGTAATGTGCAGCTTTTTTTTTATCTTGAATGCAACAAATCTGTCAATGGCTGTTACAATGCAATCTCGACTAAATTATATAATCATAATAATTCCTTTTGTAATGTTCTCCTAGAACATTATATTTCTTTTCATTTTCTTTTTATAATCTTAGTCAATATACATGATTGTTTTAATCGTTAGGCAACCATCATTGAAATAATTCCTAAAACCCAAAATATTGATCTGTGGACTAAATTCCAATTAATTTCGATAAGTGAGTTTTCACAATATCTACATTTAAATTTCAAAAAAAAAAATTCATTCGATTTATTAGAGTATAATCCACGAAAAACTTCATCACAAATAGACAGAGACATACAGACGCGCAAGTATTGAAATGTATATTTTCATTGCAAGACCGGAATAGTATATTTCCGAACTGTTACGACGAGATTTTTCACTCGTGTGGAGTTTTCAGGTAAGAATTAACAAGGCTTTGGCGAGGCTAAATGGCTCACGCCACAAACAGGCCTGACCTCATTGTTCAATCCAGGGTCAAATGAGGATGATTGATGAGGCTCCATTTTAGCCTAGTACAACACTCCACTATTGAGGATGAGTACGTCACGGCTTATCTGATACGCAGCCAATCCTTGGGAGTGAAATTTATTGTCGATTCATATCCTTGATTGTTACATTACACAGTCCTACAGAAATCCGGCTTTTTAGAACAGTGATAAGACTGTCACCACTGGAAAGATTTTTGCACGCCGATTTCAAATCCACCGGCCAAATCTCATAAAATGATCTAGTTTCTGAAGAAAAATTGTTAAGATCGTCAAAATGGCCCAAAATCATCTTGTTGAAAATTCAAGAACTAACGCCTGTATCTACTGAGCTAAAAAAACAACGAAAAGACCGGAAATTATAGTTCTAGATGGAGTAAGGTAGTTTTAATCAAAAGCAGGAGATTATTAATAAGAAAGTCCACATTTTTCAATAAAATTACATTTATTTTTCGAAAGAATATCATAGCAGTAATAGTCTGAAGTTGCATCATCATGTGGGATTTCAACCGCCAGATTTAAGGGTTAAAATGCTCCAGACGATTTTGCACACTGGGAGACTGCAAAATGCATGAAATATTTCTATTGGACAAATTTCGGGAGTAAGATTTATGAGTGAAACATATTTGAATCCAGAAAAACAGTATAAATTACCAGATCTCATGGAGTGTCTTTACTTCAACTTATTAAATCCCCATTTTTATCGATTTATTCTCATTGCAGTACCTCCATAAACCGTTCTGCCAAAGGTTTGGCTGATTTTCGACGAAAAAAATCAGAAATCTCTTTTCTTGAAGCGTTAGATTTGGTACCATGCTCTTAAAGGCACTTTAATCAAAAAATAAAATGGACAAAAAATGACCCTTCAATCTGGCGGCTATAATATTACGACTATGATATTCTTTCGAAAAATAAATGCAATTTTATTGAAAAAATACGAAATTTAATATGGATAATTTTCTGGTTTTGATTAAAACCAGCTCACACCATCTAGAACTATAATTTGTGGTCTTTACGGTGCTTTTTTAGCTCAATAGATACAGGCGTTATTTTTTAATAACATAAAAAAAGGCGATTTTAGGCCATATTGAGTACTTCAATTTTTTTTTGTAGAAACTAGGTCATTTTATGAGATTTAACGGGTAGATTTGAACTCAGCGTGCAAAATTTTTTCGAGTGGTGGCAGTCTCATCCCTATACCATAAAAGCCGGAGCTTTGTAATAGCGTTTTTCTTACACCACTTACTGCGACAGTAAGCTCGTTGCGTTTCTCAGCAATCAAAATAGTATATTATGTCATCAGGCGATAAAAGTATTATTTGACGAAATGTGACTTTATATTCCGAGTCGAAGGTGAGGGATATAATTACATGAGTCGAATTAATAATTTTGATACAAGTGAGGTGGAATTTTCACGAGTGTGAAAATTACCGTCTCACATGTGTCGAACGATATTTCTTGACAGTGATGTTACGTTCAGTGAGTGACCGAACTGTACCTTTTTCGTTTACAAGTAAATGAAAAGACTTTTATGCCACTCATGCCTGAAACCGGCTGGATTACACACTCGACGCTTCGCGTCTCGTGTCTAATTCAGCCGGTTTCAGGCTTCGTGACATAAAATTTTGTTCAGTACTTGTTGGGAAATTTCGTCCTTAACGTGTGTGGTTACATCACTCGCCTTCGGCTCATGCTGTAAACCCCACACACGTTAAAGACGAAATTGCCCCACACGTGCTGAAATATACTATTTCATCATACTGTTCGTGAAATGTCGTTTTACGCAGACTGCATGTCCGTCAAATTCCATTTACGGACATTGTGAAGAAAGATTATGTTCGTCACAAGGCCGAAATAGTATTTTTCCGGTCTGTTGCGATGGGGTTTTTTACTCGTGTGGTGTTGGTCTCCGAGCCGTAGGCGAGGACTGGCCAACCACACGAGTAAAAAAAACCCCATCGCAACAGCCCAGGAACAATATTTTTCTGTAGTGATTTTCAAGTTTTTGAGTTTGGGAAGTATGTAATAACAATTCCCAGACGAGAAATCGTGAGAAGCAGTACAGAAATAGTATTTTTCCGGCCTGTTGCGATGGGGTTTTTCACTCGTGTGGCATTGGCCTCCGAGCCGTAAGCGAGGACTGGCCAACCACACGAGTAAAAAAACCCCATCGCAACAGCCCAGGAACAATATTTTTCTGTAGTGATTTTCAAGTTTTCGAGTTTGGGAAGTATGTAATACCAATTCCCAGACGAGAAATCGTGAGAAGCAGTACAGAAAAATCATATTTCACTCGACACAATAAAGTTGGATCCCCCTGGCTGTCACTTTGCGCCCCTTCTCAAAATTTCAAAAACAAATTTCAAAATTTTTCTCCATGTGGGAGAAGACAGAAAATAAACGACTTGTGTAGGTGTCAAACCGAGCAGTATACTTCTGTAACATCAGATTAGATATTTATGATACCATTGGTTGGGATATAACGTTTACCGATGATTATTCATTAACAAATCATAATTATCATGATTAATTATATTGAATTAGAAGTCTGCAGGATTCATTTTCTCATATCCAATACAAAAATCTTGTAGTCATACTCATTTTGATAGAAATGTGAATTCCAAGATATGTTCATCTTAACCTGGGTTGGGTCGTTCGTTGAAAATTGGGGTTTTCGATGGTACATAGTAGAATATTGGTAATTTACCTCTCAATGGTAAAAAAAGATGAATAACTGGTAGAAAATCACTCAACCCGACTATCAGTGCAGTAACTCCCGTGGTTGAATTTCCAACGGTTATACCTTACGAGGGTCAAAGGTCACGAGGGTCATACCTGGCAAGCGTCAAACGTTATGAATCCTCGCAAAGGCCATGCAAAGACCATACCTCGCAAAGACCATGGCTCGCGAGGATCAAATATCGACAGGATCATGCCTCACGAGGGTTAAATGTCGCAACGGTCATACCGCACACTAGGCCAGCATTGCAAGGTGCAAACGTCGCGAGGGTTATACCTCGTGAGAATCATGTCTCCCGTTAGACCCTCGACGATTTTCCTTGCTGCCCCTTTTGTTTGACCCTTATAATTGTTGACCGGTTGCGATTGTTCCTCATAATCGTTGGAACCTTATGATTGTCCTTTCTACTCCCCGGTTACCGCTTGTTATCGTTTGATTTTTAAGATTGTCCTGCCTACCTCTGTTGTTTGACCCTCGCAAGATAGGACCCTTGCAAGGTTTAATCCTCGTGAGGCATGCCCATTGCGATGTTTGACCCTTGCAAGACTCGCACATTACACGCGCGCTCCGCCCTGTCAACGGGGTTGTTCGCGCGTCAGAACAACTATGTTGTTCTCAATCGCGCGCACAAGCGGTCAAAAAAATCTAAAACCTCCTTGGTAAATTACTTGTTGGTTTACGTATAGAAAACTTGTTAAAAAAAATGGTGGTGTTTTACTTGTCCAACCCTGATCTTAACTAGACGAGCATATGGTCGTTTACCTTATCTCCAGCCGGAGCCGAAATGATTCAAAGATGACAAAGATAATGGAATTGTGGAACAAATTCTTTATGCAATGAAATGCAACTTTTGTCCTATTCAAAGACCAATTTAATGTTTATAAAATGAATCAGACCTTGTTAAACTTGAGCCTCCCAAATTTGAGCTGTTACTTATGCCCGTTCGTCCGATGACTGAAATTTAACAACTCATATTGATTTGAAACTCAACTGTTGGCCCTAACAGACTCCCGAAAAAAATAGTAACGTGGTAAAAGTAAGTGGCACAAGTCTATTGGTCTCTCTCTAGACATTTTATGTAAGCTTTGAGTAGACATACACCTCATATATACATTGCAAAATATCTCATCGGATCTAAATTCCTCTCAAATACATCTAAAACATAGTTCACAAAAAAAAATCATGAAATATATTTCCGAAATTCAGAGGAAAATTTCTCGAATGAGAAATTCTTACATACAAGGCCTTTATATACAAAAGCAGTTGACTTTATTTTCCTGGTTGCTGAAGGAGGTTCGATGAAGATAATTCTTCATTAACCAGGGTGTTCCAGGATTATTAATAATAACTAACTGAATGTGAAACAATTGAAAAATAAAATAAAACGTGGGTATTTACCTTCTTCACCATTTGTATCTTGAACATCAGTCTTCACCTGTTGTTTAGCCTGATTCTGTTGATTCTGCCTCGATGCCACAACGTCGGGCATAACTGCATCGATGAGGGACAGAGATTCAACCATTCTCTGCTCACTACCATCTTCGCCGATAGATATCTCAGCCTCTGTGTACTGCAGACCTTTTTGTATTACCGAAAGAAGAGCGGCAGGTGGCACGAGAGCACCATTTATATTACTCTGAGATATGTGCGATTCTATGCCAAATGTGTAGGCCGAATGTTGAAACCCTAAACAAATAAAATGAATCAAAATTCCACCAATCAATTCCAACAAATCATGGTAATTTCCAGACGCATTTCTCGAAAGTATTTTTAAAGGTACGAACGATACATCTTCCATAAGTGTTCCTCAATCTCCACGTTATTTAAAAAATCTCATTAATCTTGAAGAGAAATCAACTTCTCTTGGTGCTACTTTACATTAACCCTCGATCGGCCGCGTCATGGCACGAGCGCCGTTCTGTCTCCATTTTTATTTTTTACGCTGAAACGTTGTTGAGAAAAAATCTGAAAAAATTGGAATTCCTACTTTCCACCATGTCAAACATTTAAACAATTTTTGTTCTGTGCATCTTTGCACCGATCAAAAATTAAAATTCCTTAAAAATTCGACTCAGTCAAAATCTCTGTGTTTAACACAGAGATTTTGACTGAGTCGAATTTTTGAATAATGTTCTCACTTTTCTCGTTTTATACTGATATTAGTTGTCAGTTGGAAGTTTAAAGTTAATCGTTTAATCATAGATACATCATTTTTTTGAACTTTTTTTTTCTCAATATAGTAAAATACACAGAACGGCGCAGCGCTCATCACGCGACCAGATACGTTTGGTGGAGAGGGGCGACCACTCGAGGGTTAATATATTGACGGAATTTTATGCATAAAGATGAATTATAAAAAAGAATGGAGTTCCTTATTTTTCTCTGTACTATTCAAAAATTAATCATTCGATTGTTTCATAAAAAACAGTTCTGCTCATTTTATTAAGATTCAGGAAATAATATGAATGGAATTGATCTCTAAAATGAATTGTTATAGGAAAAGGAAGTGTAGGGGACTACTCCGAATAATTAGCCAATGATAAGCATTGTGCGCGAAAGAGTATTTTCGATTTTTAACGTCTTTTCACTCTCTACTATCTTCAGGATCGTGAAACGGCTGCTATACTTATTTTCCTGAACTAATGAAAAAACTTAAATCGATAGATTATCAATTAGTCAGTTGATAGCTTTTTTGTTAGAAATTAACGGTTTATCCAACAATCAATTGCCACTAGAGCCTTTTCATTAAAATTCTTAAGTGCAGCAGAGAACGGCCTTTTTTAAACAGAAATTTTTTAGGTGAAACATGAAATAATTTAATCTAATTGATATTACACTATAATTGGAAATAATCTGAGGTTATGTCGATATCCAACAATCAATTGTCACTAGAGCCTTTTCATTAAAATTCTTAAGTGCAGCAGAGAACGGCCTTTTTTAAACAGAATTTTTTTAGGTGAAACATAAAATAATTTAATCTAATTGATGTTACACTATAATTGGAAATAGTCTGAGGTTATGTCGACAGTCCTGATTACTCACCCGACTCTTGCAAATACCGATACACCAAGAAATTGACTTCGTCGCTCGAGAAACTCATCATTCCGGTCGACAACGTTGCTAACACACCATATTTTATAATAATTCCTCGGCCTGATCAGGCAGATTTTATCATAAATGTCGGAGCAACAGACGCTATGATATGCCCTTGGAGAATAGCGGGAAGGAGACCAAACGGAATTAAAGGCGCAGCGCCGCGGCGGCGGGGAGGGGAAGAGAGAGAGAAAAAGTTGGCAATTTAAATCCGTTCTATTAGCCCCCTCGTACAGATTTTCCAAATATTCTATTTTTTCCTAATTGAAGATGTTCTGAAAAAAATTTCTAGCTGACAAAAAACATCTGATGATTATTACTTTTTAAAAAAATAAAAAATTTTCTAGCTGAGAAAAACCATTTGATAATTATTACTTTTTTAAAAAGTAAAAGCAGGGATCGGATCTTTACGACACTCAAATGCAGTTTACATTTGCACCTGGAGAGGCCTACGCAACAATCATGAAGGGGGGGACCCGTTCGTACTTCCACAACTGTACAATCGTCAAAATAAGTTCTGGGAGTAACTAGACGTTTTCTGGTAAGGTTGGGTTGCATGGGAGAATGGGATCCAATAGGATCGAAATGAACGACTCAACACTCAACCCAACCTCTAGTAACTAGAGACGTTTTCTGGTAAGGTTGGGTTGCATGGGAGAGTGGGATCGAAATGCACGACCCAACCTAACCTCTAGCCACAAACGTCTAGTTACTCCCAGAACTAAATTTGACGACTTGTACTACACATCCGCGGCTATCCACAGATTTGTGAAAAATGTGAGGGAACAACTGTACACCACATCTGTGCACGGTCATTGCAGTCGGTCAAACAGTGTCGGTAGAGTAGAAATTGCATTCGTTTCATTTGCACTCGATATTAATTATGGATGGCGCCATGTGTCTCACTATAGCGCAAATGATCGTCGCGTCCGCGATTCTATCGAGTGTCCACTGTTAATTACACGCATATATATCCCAAGTAGACTCTTTTGAATTAACACTGCGTAGCCCAATCTCATTTGAATTGAGACATCAATCTAATATCATTGAATGGTTTAATAAAATTGAAAATGCAAATAAACTCGCTGCGAACTTGTATAATTTTGTTTTGAATTGAAAACCCGAGTTGTAGACCCGAGTTTGTAGCAGCGATGTCAGACAACATATGAATGTTTTTTTGGGCTCAAATGAAAGCGCGGGTCAAGAAATGGCGTGCTAGGGCCTCTAAACATGACAAATGTCTCTAAAGATGATGTCTGCTTTCAATTGAAAAGCAGAGTTGTGACAACATTGTCTAGGAGGGCAATGGGGTCTAGGAGTCTCCCCTGGTTCAAAACCATCTTTTTGTCATTCCGGCCGTGAGGCAGCGCTTCACGTGTCTTCTGGATATCCGACTTCACGTGCTCAACTAAGGGTGAGTTTTTACAATTGATTAATTTTAAAAATTGTTCATTAGGAAAATTATGTGAATTGGGTTTTTTTACATTTTTAAAATTAATGGTTACTTCCATTGTTTCAAAACGATATTTTTGGGTTCGTAACATACTTTGAAATTTATGAGAAATAGGGTAATTGTAACAAAGACTTTTCTGTACAGGCAAATGTGAGCTAAGGGAAATTCGAAAAATTAAAAACTCTTTCAGTCAATTCTAATTAATCATTAGTTTTCTTATTTTTTTAAAATTAGAATAGACAATATTTCATTGACAATTCATTGTTCAAAAAGGATTTTCACAAAAATTATTCTTGAATTTCAACATATTTGACAAAAATACAAACTTTAAAAACAGTTTTATCTCTTCTATCAAATTTTAATTGATCAACTGTCGTTAATCAGATTCTTACTTGATCTTGTCCTCAATGAAATCTCAAGTATCAACCAAATAAGGTGATTAAAAAAATGAAATGAATTACTTCCATTGTTTCAAATCAATATTTTTGTTTTCGTAAAATATTTTGAAATCTATGAGAGTTAGGGAAATTTTTACCAAGACTTTTCAGTACTGGACAACGTGAGCTACGAAAATACGAAAAATTAAAAACTCTTTCAGTCAGTTCTGAGTAATTACTAGTTTTTAAATATTTTCCATTAGAATGCACAATATCGCATGGGGAATTCATTGTTCAAAAAGGATTTTCACGAAATTTATTCTTCAATTTTAAAATATTTGACAAAAAACAAACTTTAAAAATAGATGTATCCCTTCTACCCAATTTTAATTGATCAACTGTTGTTAATAAAATCCCTTCTTCATCTTCTCCTCAATGAAAACTCAATTATCTTCTGAATAGGGTGACAAAAAAATCAAAACAGTTTTATTTCCAAAATACGATTTATTCATTTTTCCAGCTAAACCACAGCGCTTACACATACGCGCATACACACACACTCTATTAATTTTCCTCCTCTCAACCCTCTCCTCAATGTTTTTATCCTTAAACATCACGCGCCTACAATTTCACACGGTGATATAAAAAATCTAATTAATCACTATTTAGTTTTTTTTTTAGACACCGTAATTATAATCGTGAATAAACATATGCCTAGGCTATGATCGTTTTCGATTCTTCATTTTTTCATTTAACGTTATGTCAAAATGTGAATTATCTCGAGTGTCATTCACTGCGAAAAGAAATTCTGGGGAACATTTATCGTAGGGTGACAACGCACACATTTTTTTACACTTTTCCTTCAATTTATTTTTTTTTTGGGCGGGGGGAGGAAGGAAATTTCAACGAGGATCATCCACTCAAATCATTACATGATAAACAAATACATAGTCACTTTTCATATATTGTCCTCACACTACGATCAACCGTCCGAATTAACATTTTTCAATGACAAAATAGCAATTTTTATGGTCAATTACAAGAAAAAATGCTATGTGGGTGCATGGCGTTAACCCTCGATTGGACGCACAATTAAACTTGATTAATTTTTACAATCGAACTATCTAAGAGCCTTTTCGCATGATTCAGCTTAAGAAATTGAGAACGAAAGTGGTAATTCATTAATTAATCAACTAGCAACAATGATCGAATTTCAAGGAAATAAGTAACATTACATTACGTGAAGTACAGGGATTTATTAAACCGACAAAATAAATTATATTCGAGGTACTCGAATTGTGGAGCTCATGGGGAGTGACAGCCATGAGGTGATTGATTTCATCTTTTAATTGTATCTGTAATGCCTCTGGAGGATAATTAAAATTATGTCGAGTGGAGAAATGAAAGGAATTTATTTCTTCTGGGTATTTCCTAAAAATTAATAGAAATAGATCTCATACATTTTCATAATTCACTCGTTTTTGCTCCATTTTTTTCTAAATATCTGGGAATTCAATTGAGATAGCGACGTTTTTCTCGTAGATTTAATTTTTCTGTGCAAAAATTTCTCATTTAAAAAATTGAATTCTCAAAAAAAATTGAGACATTTCAGTTCACCACTCCACAATTTTTCTTACTCTTACCCCAGGCCAGTCACTCCCCCTCACGCTGGTAACAAATATTCATTTTGGTATAAACAAATGTGCAGTGCCCATCTTCATACTTTGGTTCAACATTTTACGATGAAAAATTAAACTCTACGACTGGCATTAAATACCCAAAGAAAAACTCTGCCCTCATTGATAAATGGCACATTACCTTCGATATCAATAATAAGAAGTAAAACATTTGAATGAAAATAAACAATTCATTTCGAGGAATAGTGAACAAAAAAAATTAATTACGACTAATCGTCATGACTTACGAACTAAGACCAAAAAAAAACAATAAATCAAGTAACTATCCTCGTGATAACAATAATTCTATTAACAATTAATCAATAATTGCGGAGAAAATAATATGATTGATACTTTTATTTAATGCTTGTGCATGGTAGATGCGTGTGCTTCGACCCTCGGCTTTGTGTTAGTCAGATTTGCCTGAACTCTTGAATAATTAAAACTACTCGATCAAATCAGTTTTAACGATTGTTCATCGATTACATACTTGTCGTAATATTAGTCATTCTGTAGCATTGCATTACGTTGTAAGTACAATAATCGGTTAATCTGAGACACGTCTTTGGTATTTTATCTCGGAGCCTCAGCATTACATATTTACCAAAAGAAAAGAAAAAAATTATTTCAACATGAAGAAATATTTTAAACAGAAAAAAATTGGTAGAGAAAAAAAATGGCATCAATCTACCGAATGTTGAGTGCACCCTGAATGAATTCACCACGTGGAAATAAAAAATAAAGAGTCTGACTATTTTATTCGTAATTTCGTATTGTTTTTCGTTTGCAGGCCTCAACTTTCGATAGATTTATTTCAGATAAAGTATTATTCTACCATTTTAAACGAAGAAAAAAACATACATCAACTGTACATGAAAAATAAACATAAATATCATCGTGAGGTTGTGTTTTTTCAATGGCGAAAGAAAAGAAAAAAAATATATACTCAATGCATTAAACCCCGAGCACATTTTTGCCACCCTCGTGACTTGTACTGTTACATTACAAATATATATGCGTACATGTACATAGACGATAAAAACGTGTGAAAAAAAAATCCTGTTTTTTTCTCTTCATCTGGTTTTTGAAAAAAAAAATTATGTGTCAGCAATTGGTGACAGGGGAGCAAATGTTGAACGTTTTTTTCCCCTCGACGAATGGGTGAAGAGGCGAAAATGTAAAGCGAGGATCAGGTTGGCATTTTTTAAAAGAAAAATGGAGTAAAAATGTTGTGGGGCTAGTTGACATAAATTTTTTTTCCTTTCTGCACATGCGAGACAAAACGCGAGGCTCGTAAAACGCCCCACGTGCATCCCCTGAACCCCCTTTTTTTTCAATTTTCCAGGTGTGAAGACGGTGAATATCGACGCTGACAGCACTTTCCAACAATTTCTCGGCGATGATTCAACGTGTTCAAGGGGGATTATTTTTTTTAAATGTGAGTGTGTGTGTGGTTCGAGGGACTTTTTGGCGCTATTTTTTGGGGAGGGAGGAGAGGACGTGAGCACCGAGGGAACGTACTGGTGAGTGAAAATAAATGATTTTAACGAAACGTAAACAAATAGGGGTTTGAAATCGGTAGTAATGATCTAGTTCAGAGGTATATCTCACTGATAAACTGATATATTAAAATTTATGAACATGCTCATCAATTAATTGATAATTAACGATTGATTAGAACTGATTAGTAATAATGAATTTCAATCAATTATCAACAAAAATTTGGATATATCACTTCAATGACGAGATATTTCCCCAAAACTAGACGATAATGAGCTCATGCTACCGCACAAATTTCCCAAAGAAAAAAAAAGTAACTAAAAGAAATACTGCAGAAAAAAAAGCGAAAAAAATCAACTCATGTTTGTGGCGCCCCTGAAATTCGATATCAATGAAAAATTGTCGTACAAAATTGATTTTTTGGTTGAAAAATTTACTTTTCAGTCGACAGAAAAACGTACTTGAACGTTTTATCTCTCATACCATTAAGTTATTAATGATAATTAATCGTTGAGTCTGGTGTTACCGCTCGACTCGTTAGCGTTTTACCCCCATATGTACTAGAAATGTTTAGACACATATTTTAATACGCACGGGCACACATATAAATATATACACATAGATTGAAGTTGTTTTGTTTTCAATATTTTTCCTCAACTTTTTGGCGTCGATTTCATCAACAAATTCCATTCTTATAAAAAATCCTCTAGCAAATCCTTTCGTTTTTTTTCAATTAAAAACGACAAAGGGACGAGATAAACTTTCTTTTGTAAAAGTTTCTGACTTCAAAGCTCTCGTGAAAACGATAAAAAAAAGAGTTGCTTGTTAGCTTTGATAAAAAAAATGATCAAAAAAGGATGCTTTCAATTTTCTTTTTTTCCCGTTTCTTTCACGAAAGTACGTGGAGAATAAAGTGGAACATAAAGGATTGTAAGAATTCTGTGTGGAATATTGGTGGAGGGAAGGTGGGGGGTGTTACATTTATACTCGATTTTTTTCATTATATTTTTGATGATGGTATAGTTGCAACAGGCACCGACAAAACACAGAGACTGATCGAGTCGTGACTGAACTGAGACAGACATGGCACGGGGGGGCGAGAACTCCAGTTGATAGTATAACAGTCACAACGTCACAGGCCACCTGCTGGCACACAAACAAACACACAGAACATGTTAGTCACCACCACACAGAATAAAACGAATAAGCTGGCTTTTTTTGCTGGTAGAGTGACGAATCTACCGGTAGTGAGATTTTGGTTGACGACTCTAGCGATCTACCGCGTGTTGAGCATGTTGGGAGGCAAATGTAGCACGTGAAAATGAAAAAAACAAGTCTACGGGGGATGACATCTGTCTAGCTCTACCAAAATCTACCTGAGGGCCAGTTTTTGGACAGAGAAGATCTCTGGAAGACTTTATTATTCGCATCTCCTTGTGGTACATTTGAAATTCGGGAGGTGGGTTGTGATACACGTGAAGATGGGTAGAGTTATCAACCGACAGCTCATTTCGGTAGAGTTTTTAATCTATTGGTTACTTTTTCACTGACGAAATGCAGATATCTGTGCTGAATGATAGAGTAGATCTTCGATGGGGATCCGAATTTTGACCATTTCGAAAGCTTCAAAATAACTTTTTTTGCTGATAGAGTGACGAATCTACCGGAAAAGAGATTTTGGTTGACGACTCTAGTGTTCTACCGCGTGTTGAGAATGTTGGGAAGCAAATGTAGCACGCGAAAACAACAATAACAAGTCTACCGGGGATCACATCTGCCTAGCTCTACCAAAATTTACCTGAGGGCCAGTTTTTGGACAGAGACGATCTCTGGAAGACTTTATTATTTGCATCTCCTTGTGATACATTTGAAATTCAAGAGGTGGGTTGTGATACATGTGAAAATGGATAGAGTTTTCAACCAACAGCTCATTTCGGTAGAGTTCGTAATCTACCGGTTACTTTTTCACTGACGAAATGCAGATATTTGTGCCGAATAATAGAGTAAATCTTCGATTCGGAATACCATTTTTTGCGAAGGTCGTCTCGAACTTTAAAGTAAAAAAAAACTTGGTCAATTTGAATCGTTGATTTTGGAGATACTGAGGAATTTCACATCGCTGTTGTTCAGTCGAATAATTGGTTTCGGTGGAATAGATCTGCAAGACTTATGTCTTGTTAAATATATCTGCTGTGGAGAACCATTCTTACAATACCAAATTCTTCATCGAAATATGACGTATGAGGTTTTAATGCAGAGAATCCTACTGAGGTCTCTAAGCACTTGAATGAGGACTTGATAACTGTGGGGAATTGGAAAAACTGAAAATAATTGGATGTGAGATGGGGATAATTGGATGGGGAGGTCTTAGAGGGGATGATAGTTGAGTTTAAGGATGTAGGTTTGATCTTTGGGTTCGTTAAAGTGAATTGGTATCGACATTTTTCTTTTGTTACTTAAACTATAAAAATTCTGTAATTATGAATCTGCAGTGGAATTGAAAGGGTTCTGGGAGAAGATGTCATCAAACATTTTTTAGCCGATAAAATTCTGTGGAAATGATCGCAAAAATGAAAGATTACCCCACATCTGGAACAAATTCACCTCTTCGAATAACTTCACAATTGCTGAAAAACCACACAAGAATATCTCAAGCATGAAAACCTCACTTCACCGAATTAGAATCCCCAATTAATCAACACTCGAAACTAGACAGCATTTGTCAATGAAAAGACGTTCGAATTCCCCTGAATATACCAAGGAAACTCGAGATAATTTCACAGAATACCTTTACAAATACTAGACTCCATGGTGGATTCTGGTTTAACATTGAAATCACCAATTAAACACATTGTTCATGTGGGTTAGTAAATACCTTAAAATACTGATAGAAGCGTTTTCTAGCATTAAATTATGAATTAGATAATAAAAATAATCAATACACGATTTATGCTTCGCGTTACCTGTAATGCACAAGCAATTAATCCACCCATTCCTCCCTTATTACCTATTTATTTCAAATTAATCGTTAAATTTGGACGGATTTACTGAAATACTACCACAATTAAATAAATAAAAAAATTCTAGAGTATTTGAGTATCACAGACTCTCGATAAATAGTTAAATGACTCGATGAATAAATAAATAAATGTATGTAAATGTCTAGTGACTAGTGAAATTGACTTGAATTCTTGATAATACGATTATTTCATTTTAAAATACCCTTTGTAAATAATTCATGGCAGTTATCAGCCCTTTTAATACTCGGAATTGATTCATCTACCTATTAATAATGAAGCCCGTGAGTTGGGAAGGGGACTAATAGGGCTTGGCAGCCTCTTTGGCTCTTTTGTGTTCCACCTTCAGTCGTTTAGTGCCTATGTGAAATCCATTCATCGTTTGTATTGCAGCAGCAGCACTTGTTGGATTGTCGTATGATACAAAACCTACGGAAATTAATTACACGATAATTAGAATGAACATTGTGGAACTTTAGCGTCTCAGTGCAGTAACTCGAACATTTATTCCTCCACTAAGAGAAAAATCGACATATCACAAAAAAAATTTCTTGAGCGAAAAACGTCGCATACATATTTGATCAATTTGTGGTAGATTTCAGACAAGAAATCGGTGCTCTTTGGGCTAAGGAGGAAGTTACTGAATGAAAAGGTGATGTCTTCTTTCGAAATGAGATAATATTCCTTAAAAGATAAGAATAGTTTGACAGAAGGAGAAGAAGATATTGCTTCCCTTCGAACTCAAAGGGATTGAGCGTAAGCGGCGGTTATATATTTTTAATATCTGGAGGTTTTCCTCTGCATAAACTCTCTATTCATTCAATATGAAACTCGGATTCATGATTCACTGAATCGAAGCTTTTAATATTTTTAGTAATTTTCTTATCTTCTTATACGAAAAAACCAATTTCTTGTGGCAAGCAATTCTCACTTTATCGTGAAATGTTCATGTTCAAGTCATGAACACTTCAACGAAATCTGACATTGTCTGACACATTATCCGGACTTCTTATCCGAAGAAATTTATTCTCAAAAGATATTTGGCGCAAGAAATCAGTTTTGTGATATTATGACGATGTTTCTCTCAGTGTGGGATTTATTGAATTATTCACTTACCGAAGCACCTGCTCATGTTGGTTTTGAGATCAACAACGACTTTGGCCGATAGCATATTACCAAATTGTACGAATGTCGATGCAAGATCCATATCAGTGAATTCTTGGGGCAGATGGTAGATGAATAAATTGCATCCCTCTGGTCCCTCAATTTGCTTGCCAGCAGCATTTGCTATCATGGCTTGCTGCTGAGCAGCCAGTGCAGCAGCAGCTATTGCTGTTGTGCTATTTGTTGTCGTAAGTGTTGGAAATCCTTTTGAAATTCATTAGTTTCGTTAGTCGCTGGGTATTAATTAATCCGATCAGTTATCAACGATTAAAACGACACTTCATGCCGCGGAAGCTTATTTATCGAATAGATAAAACTTCTAATCAGCTACTGTCACAAATAATTTTGATTTATGATCAAGTAGTGCGGATTGACTATGTAGTGGCAAACGTCCAGAATGTTTCACCTGTTTTCGGCATATCATTTGAACTCCACAGTTGGTAGGTAACAATTTGGACTTATGCCAGTTACAATGCATCGTGGAAATTTAATTGCCAGGGATACTACTGGACGTCAACGGTACACATTTGTATCAACATTCTCACGATATTTCTAGTATTTTTTCTTTTTCGTCATTGTGCGGAGCAAAAGAGAATGAGAAAACAAATTGAAGGAGTTTTGAGAAGAAGGGAGAGAGAATTCCGGGGATTCTTAACTTTCAAGAAGTATAGAAGAATAGAAACGTTTTTGGTGAAGGGAGAGCAGAAGAAATTCTAGAGATATTCTAGCAGTTAAACGAAAATAATCAACTACTTAAGCGATTTTTCTTGTAAATACTCGCGCTATTACTCACTATGCAACTCTTTCTTTTCCACCGTGACTGTTGTTTTTCCAATGAGAGCTTCAATACGTATTTTTCATTTTATTTTTTTGTGATTGAATTTCAAGCGTTATGGTTTCAATCAAGTTGAATAAGGTTTTATGCAGAAATTGAAGAATTATTTGGTGAAAACAATTGGTTGATCGAATGTCTTATTCAACTTGACGATGAAATTATAACGTTAACATGATGGTAATTTACCTGCATATTGCTGTAGACTCGAATAAGCACTTGTCAATGAGTCCTGAATGCCACTCAGTGGTGATGCAGTCAGTGAATTGAGCGTGAGAGACGTCACTGGATTGAAACTGTTACCAGTGGACCCTGAAATATCAAGCAATGTTGAGAATTAAAGGGGTTATTGCCACTTGTTAAAACCAAATAGTCAACCTATGCGGTATCATGCTTTTGGATTAAAAGCTCAAGCGTCAGACGATAAAGTCTATGCGTTATGATCGTTAAATTGATCTTGTTTTTGTTCGCGGCGAGCCTCACCTGTGCTTCCTGTTTTCCCGAGCAGGGCAGCTTGACATAAAAGCAAGTGACAAGTTCTTTAAGACTGTTTCATCAATTCTAGATTAATTGCACTGTTTAATAGATACAATACAAGATACAGAGTGATTGCAACGGTTAAAGCAACGGAATTTGATTTGTCATTTATACACTTTAGAATTTTTTGAATGAAATTTCGCGGAATTTTGACACTAAAAATTGCAAATTTTTGGGAAAAATCGATGGAAAGTGGAAATTTTAGTTCAATTATTTCATGAGAATCAATAGAAATCAGGAAAGTCAGGGTAATTTGGTAATGAATATTCATGATTTGATTGAAAATTCAAGAATTTCATGGAATTTTAGTGAAAATTCATAATTTTTTTTACCCTCAATTGAATTGAATGTGAATTTCCTGAAAAAAATTATGAATTGTCCATGATATTCCATTTCCTTTTCAACCGTGTATTTTAACAATTCAGTGTTCCGCCTTGTTGACAAATCAATAATTTGTCATCATAAATTCTTAACGTGAATTGCAGTTTTTTTAATGCGTCATCATAATCCCATATTAAGACCGTTTCATCAATTCTAGATTAATTGCACTGTTTATTAGGTAGAATACAGGGCACAGAATGATTGCAATGGCTGAAGCAACGGAATTTGATTTGTCATTTATTCACTTTTACAATTTTTTGAATGAAATTTCGAGGAATTTCGACATCGCAAATTTCAAATTTTTGGGTAAAATCGATGGTGAGTGGAAATTTTAGTTCAATTATTTCATGAGAATTAATAAAAATCAGAAAAATCCAGGGTAATTTGGTAATAAACATTCATGATTTGATTGAAAATTGAAGAAATTCGTGGAATTTCAGTGAAATTTCGTAATTTTTTTACCCTAAACTAAATTAAATGTGAGTCTCCTGAAAATTAATAGTCAATTGTCCATGAAATTTAAGGCTGGCCCGGTGGCTTGGCGCAATGGGTAAGTTCGTTGCCTCACATGCAAAAGGTTCCGAGTTCAAATCCCGGCCGGGTAGAATCGTGCGATCTAACCATTTAAAGTCTTGATCATCATTGCAGTATACTCTAACCGGGTCGAAGCGATGTAAAATAACGATAAAAAAAAATTTAAGGCTGTTTTGCCCATGTACACAATTTCAGATGTACACATAAGAGTTGCACACAATTAATTGCACACACATATTTGTTTTTCACACAGTTTTTTTACACACCGTTGAATCACACGGGATGTTTTCCACGCTTTCATGTGCATATATCCGAGTTACACACCCACATTGATGAATCACACATTACTGAATTACACAAAATGTTTTCCACATTTGAAATTATCGGTGTGAAATAGTTTCGCATGTATGTAACTCAAGTTGGGGCGTGTGTAACTCAATTTGAGGCGTGTGTAACTCAATTTGAAGCGTGTGTGACTGAATTCGATGTGTGTGTAACTCAATTTCCACTGTGTATATTTGAATTTTGAAATTGTTTCACTTGATTTCACATAACGCAATTATTTAACAATGACTATCAAAAATTATTCCTGAAATATGTATTGGCGAAATTCGTCAAAATCTCATGAAAACTCATCAAAAATCCAAAGAGGGAAAATTGAAGAGAATTTTTCCCTTTTCCCGGGCTGTTGGGGTGCTGTTCTTGCTGGGGGGCAGTCAAGAGACTGATACGATTAACAATGTTCCTAATGACCCCTGCACTAAAATAATACCGCATGACCCCGGCACAATTGTTTAAATCCGGTCATTTTACAGTTTGAAGTCGTTGGTTACCAAATTCCGATCGATATCCATCATCTTCCCTTCGAAAGATCGTTTTGATTTCCAATAGAAAATATTTGGGGGGTTCTCCTTTGGTGGAGATTCACTTTACGCACGCTCGTGAACTTTACGCACTCGTGCACAAAAACAACTACATTATCCCCACTACTGTTTCGAAAAGTGAACTCGGCAGGTACCACAAAAAATAGGATGTGTTACACGTGCGTGTGAAAAAGTGGAAATTTACGCACTAGTAACACAATATACTATTTCTTTCCAACAGTGTATTTTAACAATTCAACGTTCCGCTTTGTTGACGAATAAATAATTTCTCATCATAAATTTTTAACGTGCATTGCATGTTTTTTAATGCGTCGTCGTAATCCCATATAAATTGTTAAATATTTTTTAGTATTTGTTAATACTGTACCAGGCAATACGACACGTACATAGTGACATACCTGCCGTTGAATTACCCAATCCAGTCAGTGCTATAAAAACAATTGGTTCTCTCATTAATAAAATGGATACATAATGCATCGACATATTTATCAAACTGTTAATTGAATACAGTGGACTTACAGCTCGGCTGCACTTGCAGATTACTGCTGCCACCAGTCATTGCCGCTAGTGTTACTAAATCTTGCATACTCATTGGTGATACAGCAGCATTTGCTGAAATATTATGTAATTTCAAGTATTGAATTATTCATCTTGGGTATTTTTTTTCGTATCGAGGGAACGGAATGTTGAAAAACATTGAGGCGAGGACATTGAAAAAATAATAGAATTACTCTTATGATTCGATAATTAATTATCGGGAGAAGTAATCATTTGTACTGATGTGGACTCGCCGTTGGGTTTATTTAATTTTTCTAATTGATTGAATTATTGGACATTGAGAATTACTTGTTAAGGGGTAACGGAATCCGTCGCAAAAATTTGTTTTTTCGACCCATTTTTCTCCGATTGTGTAATATAAACCCAATATAAATGGCTGAAATATAACAGGCTGAAATTTTCACTAAGTATTGAGGGGAGACTAAGTGTTGTCCTTCATTTATTATTTTTCAGATTTTTCGCAAAAAAAATGCAGACAACTAAACAACACAGCTGATGCTAAAAAATAATAGATGGACGACAACGTTGTCCCCCTCAATGCTTAAGGAAAATTTCAGCCATTTATATTAGACACAATCGGAGAAAAATCGGTTGAAAAAACAATTTTTTGCGACGGCTTCCGTTACCCCTTAATTAATTATTATTACTTCATTTTAAGTAAAGGTTCTCGGGAAAGTTGAAAATTTCATGAAATATTTTCATTGAATAGTAACTTTAAGGCCGGATGGATTGTCTTTCGAACGTGATCTTGGTTGTTTTTTTTTCATTTTGATAATCTGAAATGATCTCCAATAGCTATTCAATTTTACACAGTCCTGGAGTCTCGGAAAATTATGATTGTACAATTAAAAAAACATTGAAAAAAAGCTGAACATTTTCAATGAGCGTTTTTAAATAATATTGGGAAATGAATCCAATAGGGAGGAAATTTCAAATTAATAATTTGATATATCTAATGGCTGTCAGATCGTTAGTTACCGTGATAAATTATCCATTCACCATTTTCTCTCCATCGAACTTATTTCTTAATCTTTATTAAAAACGCCCTTTCAAGATAATCAGTTTTTTTCTACTTTTTTTGATTGTACAATCATTGTTTTTAGGGACTCCTGCGTAATGTTAAATCCAATGGAAATTGTGATATATTTTACATTATAAAGATGGAGAAACAATCTAGATAACATTCGAAATATAATCCACCTGGATTTTGAAATTATTACTGTAATAATCGCGTTTCAAATGCATTGCAAGTGGAAACGGAAATGCATTAGTCTGGCTGTGATTGAATGAACATGAGGAAAGGATCAAAGTAAATCCCAACGAAAATGTGAGAATTCGAAGGGGGGAAAAAAACACTAACCGTACTCACCGGTGGAATTACCGAGGGATGCTAGTGTAGCGAGACCCTGAAGATTAGCTTGACTGATCTCGGGTGAGCTTGGTACAGCCGGGGCTGCCGCAGCTTGTGATGCGGTTGCAGCACTCAGTCCTAGGTGTTGTTGAAGCAGCAATTGATGTTGCACACTTGATAATGCACTGGCAGCTCCGGTATTACTCGCTACTGGGGTTGCAGCACTTGAACTCGCTTGCAATTGCTGAAGTAACTGGAGTGACGTTGTTGGCGCTAGTGTGGGTGTATCGTTCTGGTGAAGAGAAGAAAATAAAATATGAGATGGCAAATGGAACGGGGAGAGATTCTTGTTCTGAAGAAAACTAGAATCACTTCGTCTGATTTGAAATTTGGAAGAATGTTAACGTCATATGGGAAATGTTTTATGCGTTTCGCAGACTAATGCATCGAGAACATTTCCTTATGTCAAAGGGAATCGTAAATTGTACCGGGGAAAGTTCAGCAACTACTTTTCCTCGAGCATTCGCTGTAATTTCATTTCAACAGAAAATTCATTTGAGGGAGTTTTTTGAGAGAAACTTTGATGATGAAAATTTTACATCGTGAATTTAGAGGAATTTTCTTTTTTTATTGCGGACATTTTTTGGAAATTTTTATTGTTTTTCAGTTTCACTGGAATTTCAGGGAATTTTATCCAAATTCCATTCGGAAGCAAATTGCTAATTGATTAGCAAAAATTTGTTGACTATATTATGACGAAAGCAATTTCCCACTTATTTCAACGTACGTTCGTTAAATAAGGCGGTGTGGTCATATTGACAGCAGCAATGTTCCACAAGTTGGCCTGCAACTGCTGCATCCTCTTCTGGTCCTTCTCCTTCTGCGTGTCAGCGAACTTGACCACTAATGGTGACGAACACCCCTAGAGCAAAAAAGAGAAATTTCCAAATTCATGCTGTTAAATTATTGAATAATCAATTGTTATTTCAATTGTTGGAATTCCACTGGATTGCCGGGTTGAATGTGAAATGTAGAGGTGGGATTTCACGATTTTCATTCAAACCCAAGAATGTGCATATCGAGAAATGAAATGGGGGTACCGTCTGCCTAGAGACGTACTGAGTTTTGTACATTGGTAGAGTGGAACTTACCGCCGGAAATATTCATGATATTAAAATGAAATTGCCAAGAGTCTCGCGTGCCTTGGCAACTCATACGAGTAGTCGAGGAACTATCGATAACTACTCCCCATGCGCTCACTAAAAACGTCTGATATAGTCTCTAAAAACCAATTAGGAAAATTCATTTCCGTTTTGGAATAAATTTCGGGGGTAATTGATGGCAGTGAACGTCTCTATTCAGTCGTGGGTAATTAATAACATTTTAATCGAGTTTATTTATGCAGTGGAAAGTTGAAATGGATTGAGTTTTTTGTTGATTAAGGCTTCCTTTTTGATTGTGTTATGCTTCGTGATGTATTTTTTAGAGCTATTTATTTTTGATTATGGGCATCATTATTATTTATTGAGTCGATCGTAATAGTTTTTTATAATGAATGTGAAGATAATATTGATGATGATAATGATGATATAGACGCGCTGTTATGAATCCTGAATTTTCTAACTTTGCTGAATAATTTCATATAAATATAATGTGCGCGCGTGTATATTACGTCTTTATATTTACTATTATTCGTGATTTACATACACTGAGAGAAAAATGACAAAATTTTCAAACAAGTCTTACTTGTGCCAAGAAAATAGTTTTTTGAAAATTATCAAAAAGGATTTTTTTGTGCTAAACATGCAGAGTGCGCCGGAATGAAAAATTTTTGATGCAAAAATAGATTCAGTAGTTAAAAAAAAATTGCATTCTCTGTCCACGCAAGAAATGTCATTTCGTCTCCTACGTTATTCGATACTCCCATACCTATTTTGCTCCCGAAAAATCTTTGTTTTGTGCGAAACAAGGGATAGCAGTTTTTCGTTTTGGCTGTCTAATAATCACAGACAAGAAATGAACCCTTAAATGAAACAATAATAATGATATGATAGCAATCTGGTAACTTAGGGATAAAATATTTGTTGATGAATCATCCTCTATATGAGATATTTTAATTCTGGAAAGGCACCGTCTGATGTGAATTATCCGCCTGTTGAGCCAAATATTTCGTTGCTATTTCTGCTTGAAAGCAGAACAATTATTCATGTTTGAGACTTTCAAATTCCAATCAAACAAATTCTTTTTTGGCAATTTTCAACTAGCGATTTTGTTGGCCCGAACAAGACTTTTTTGACAACGTGTTTGTTTTTCTCTCGGTGTATGTAATTATTATGGATTAGTTTCGCATCTTTCTGTAGGCTTCGATGGGCTTCTGCCTGAAGCCTGTAATAAATACTAATAAATTCTAATACTATTCAGGGATAAAATCATGGTTTTTTGCAACTTTTGGTGAATTAGTATAGAATAGAATAGAATACTTTGTTTCCTTGATGCTACTATTGCAGTTCTACATCTACGAATTAGTATAGTTTGTACACGCAAAAAAATATACTTGAATTGAGTATATTTTATACCTGAATTAAGAATATGCATAGACCTGATTCGAGTATAAAATATATTTGATTCAAATACTCAATTCAGATTTTTTTTCGGTGTATACTTTAATGAATTGTATACACGGAGAGAAATATTCAGTAAAAACTACGGAACAATTCACGTAATTCGCAATGGGGAATCGTTTTCCGCCAATTTTTATAGGAATGGAAGAGAAAAAATCGGAAACGTTCAGTGAATTCTCAGGTTCATCACCGAACCAAGTACGAAATTGTCATGTCAGTTTTCCCGAAGAAGTAAAATCTTACAAAAACTTCCCGACTTATTGTGCCTCCAAAATCGACAATTCTTGAACGTTCAACAATTTTTATGAAAGTGGTGAGTTATTTCTGCGTTCTGTTCCGTAAAATTTCTCAATCGTTGGGGAAAAATTACGGAACGACTTGTTGTCCCCACAGCGGTGGGTCATCAGACGGGTGGTTAATTTTCACGGAACAAATCGTAGAATTTACATGGCTGTTCGTACAATTTCAGTTCCGACTCACACTTTTTATTGAATTTCACTTCGCTCGCGAATTACGTTTCGAAACATAATTTTTACGTTGTTCTTTCTGGTAATTTTTATTGAATTTTTCTCTCCGTGTAGACTTCAAATCTTCTGTCGAAAGATTGAAATGAGAGGAGAGAGAGGTGTGAATGAGAAAGTGATGAAGTACAAAGCTGAAGAGGTGGAAAAAGACCGACTGGAGGTAGAAGAACAGTGGTACATAGCAGATACTATCCTATTCCATTTCTTGGCTTGCAATAGTGATGATTCAGTCGTTGGGGTGCTTTGCACTTTGAGCTTCTTTCACGGTCTCAGCAAGTAGTTTTTCCCTTAGTCGAGTGCATTTTCACCCTACGAATGGATACATTATACCGCAAGGAGAGTTTTCCATGCTAACGTATAAAGGAGAATGTCTTTCATACGTGTGTATATGGAGTTTGTTTTGTTTTCATTTTTTTTTACTTCTTGGTTTGAATGGAAAAATTTGTTCACACACGATGCCTAGGCTATTTTCACCGGCTTTTTCAATGCATAAATCTTGGGTTATTTTCGGGATTTGGCATATTTTGCTTTCATTGCTCTCTCGGAGAGTCGATGCGGCGAAAGAGTGAATTTGCTCTTGTGAAAATTGGATATTCAATGGTATTTTTTAGCGCAAAAGAAATTAATTTGCAGAGAGAATGGATCAGGAAATATTTCTATTCACGTTATGTCGTGCAGAGTTGTTATCGAAGTAATAAAACCGAAAATTGATTAAAATAAATTTACATTCGACACGTTCTCAAACATCATAGGGTCCGAGGTATTTAAACCAGTGAAGTAAAACGGAATGAGATTGTCCATTCGCTTTTGATGTGTTTGACTTGGAAAAAGCCGGCAGTCTGCCAAAACACATTTGACACTGGTTTTGATGCCTATGTCAGTCACAGTGGTATGGTATTACGGGGCTATGAAAAGGGGCGTCAAAGTGGGTTTGGTGAATTAATAAAATCACGGAAAATGAGCTCAAGTTATTTGTTTTTGTATCGCTGGGAGTACACAGAGAAAAAAAATTATTTTTGCCAAATATTTATTTATTTGAAGAAACATTTATTTTTTCAAAATCGTATTTCTCCAATCGAGTCATTCTCAGGCGAGCCTGATTAGGTTTCAATTATAACATGTTGCTCTAGAAGATGACTCCAATGATTATTCATTTTTCCTAAATTTTTCATTTTCTGGAGGAAAGAATTTTGATAAAATTTTTAATGTTGATAATTATTGACGGAGTTCACTCACGATCATAAATAACATGATCCTATTTGCTAAAGATGAAAGAAACGTGAAGTTGTTTTGTATTGAAATATCTCGAAACTGCCTGACCGCTAATCCTCATTTCTGATTGATCAATGAGTCACGTGAAATAGTCGCTGAAAAAAATCCCCGGTATTTTCTTATAATGCTAAAAAAAATTCTGCGTCATATTTTTCATTTTTTCATGTGTGAAGTTTCTCTTTATATGGAGAAATAGGATATTGAAAAAATGAATACTTCTCTCAAGCAAACGGATATTTGGCAAAAATAATTTTTTTTCTTGGTGTAAGCAACATTGGGCTTGAATGGCAATGAGGGAGACAAAATTTTTGCGGTAACTTACCTCCATTGTACGAGAGTGGTGTAGGGCTTTGATGGCATTTATGGCATATTGTTTACTCGCAAATGTGACAAATGCACAACCTCTACTCTGTCCAGTACTGTTATCACGGAGTACTGAGCACTCTTCTATTGCACCATACACATCGAACATGTTTCTGACGTCATTCTCTGTGTACTTCTTGGATAACATGCCCACGAATAGTTTTCGATCTATAACAGAATGAAAGAGAAAATGTCGATAAATTTCCTGTTGAATTGTTTTTAATGGATTACATTGCGCAGTATCTCATGAACAAATGATGCTATTTGGATGAGTCAGGTCTCATTTTTAAGGTATTTTTTCAAACTTGAAAATGAGACCTGATGATTGAAATTTCACTCTGCCAAACCGAAGATTTTCAGGATTAACAAAAAAGTCTCTTCTTTAGATTTCAATAAAATTGTCTTTATTCAATCTGCGATATATTTTGAACAAATTATGCGATTTTGAAGAGTCAAGTCTCATTTTAAAGGTTGAAAAAATAGCTTGAAAATGAGTTCAGACGCGTCTAATTTCACTTTGCCGTTCTTGAGTTACTCATGATAAAAAACGCCTTTGATTTTTGAAGAATGATTTTCTTTGTGAATACTTGGATTGATAGTTTTTGTTGCTTATAATTTCAATTCCTATATAATATATCAGTTCTTTTGCATCGACTTCAATAGTATGCAACAGTTTTGACGCATTCCCCAAGAATTTTAACTACAACAATTGAATTCTTCGCCTCCGATCAATAGCGCGTGACACCTGACCCGAAAAGACTTGTGTCTCACTCTCCTCCTTCCTGTCGGTATGTCATTAGTCATGTGGCTCATTAGTATGGAGGCCTGACCACGACGAAGGAAGTGACAACAGAGTCACGAACTGTGATCCATCCGCAAACTGTCCAGAAACTTTAATCGTTGACTCTCAAATATTTCTCTTTCTCAACTTGAAAAAGATGTTCTCAACAGCTTTATGTCAAAGCACTCATTGTCCTGACATATGTATTCACACTTTCGTACCAATTCCCACTCCAATTTCGATAGTTATTCATTAGTATGGCATTTTGCAGTGAGACGATAAATATTTCACTGACTTCCTTTCGATTCTCCATCAACCTCACTCATTCCAGTCACATGAATCATTCGAATCATTGCATATTCAATAAACAATTCCTGCAAATTCTCTCAAGGACATGTGCCTTTAATTTCTATTCTGTGTAGTACGTCATCAGAGTTGATCGTCTTAAAATACCATTGAGATTACAGAGATCCGATTACTTTTTCTGCTGTCGTATCGTCTTGAATCGTGCATGTGTAGCTGAAATTCCAAGTGTTTTCCCTCGACAGAAGTTGTCTTCATGAATTTCTTTGTCTGAAATTAAGACACTTGTTTCCGGTTTTTTAAAACGCTTGTGGCGCCAGATTTAGGGGAGTCTACTATGAGTTTGAAATTTTTTATATGTCTAAAAACGAATAATTCTTAAAAAAAATTAATTCTCTATTGTTCGTTTGCCCCGCAGACGCTTAAAATATTGAAAATAATCCAGGACCTTCAATTTTTGAGCTACAAAGGCTGTTTTTCGAAATTCTTGAAAAAATGTGTACGATAACATTTACGAATTAGTTTTTTGAAATTTGAATCCTACATAGCCAATTTTGTTTTGTTTAATGTAACAATTTGCGCCGTTCATGTAAAATTGGCAGAAAAGTTATCCTTAAAATATTTTAAATATTCTCGATTCTTTCAGAAACATTTTTCGGGCTATTTTATATGAATGGTGAAATTCTTCATTTAAAAAATTACATAATAATAATCCGATAAAATTTTTCATTACCTATTTGAATTCTTCGCTATTTTTCTTGTATTCTATGAAAATGTGAGGATAGGAATTGAATTGATGGACATTGGTTTACTATTCGAAAAAATATATCAATTTTAAAATTTTCCCTAGACATTGAAAAATTAAAAATTCTTTTTTCGTGTTGATTTCGTTTCTCTTCCTCTTTTCACTTTCTTTCATCAGAATTAGACAATAGAAAGAAAATACGATGGTTTTTCTTCATTATTAAAAAAAAATGTTTTGAAATTTTCAAGATTGAAAAATCAATTTTTTTAATCTATTTCTGATTTTCCTTCCCTACATTTTCCGTATTTCCTGTTTCTGTGAACGGAATACGATGACATCAAATTACAAATGTTAATTTCCCTTCATTTTTTAAGAAGAAAAAAGCAATTTGAATAATTTCGAAAAGACATAAAAAAATCAATTTTTTTAATCTATTTCTGATTTTCCTTCCCTACATTTTCCGTATTTCCTGTTTCTGTGAACGGAATACGATGACATCAAATTACAAATGTTAATTTCCCTTCATTTTTTAAGAAGAAAAAGGCAATTTGAATAATTTCGAAAAGACATAAAAAAATCAATTTTTTCATTTTATTGATACTGATTGATGATGATCGATCTCTCTTTGCAATTTCCTTCTTCGGTTCCATTCAAATGGGATCAAAGGAATGTAAAATGTTCATATTTGTTCACATTTTCAAATCATTGGTACTAATTCATTTCAAGAAAAAGCAAGAAATGAAAAATTTTAGCTATGATTATCGAAAATTGTTTGTCGATCTGTATTCTCACGTGATTTATGGGGAATTCCTCTTCATTCAATGTTGTAACTTGTGAATTAAGGAACAAAAATTTATGTAACAACAAGAAGAATGAATAAAATTAAATTAATCTAATTGTGAAGACGGAAAGGGAAAGAAAATAAAATAACATAAGATAGTATACATTAATCTATACAAACGGGCGCGAAGCGAAACTCTCACACAGTTAACGAAATTAACTGTGTAAGAGTTGAATTTCAAAAAACTAATTCGTAATTGTTATTGCATACATTTTAAGCGTCTGCGGGACAAACGAACAAAAAAAATAGTAGATTATGTCATCAGGCGATAAAAGTATTATCTGGCGAATGTGGCCAGATAATACTCGCCTTCGGCTCGGATTATAATCACATTCGCCAGATAATGCTTTTATCGTTGTGTGACATATGATATTCTATGTCGCTGGGCCCGAAAACCGCGATTTAACCGAGCAAAGCGAGGTTAGAATCGCGGTTTATCGGGCCTAATGACAAATTAATTTTTTTTTATGATTATTAAATGTATGAGAAATCTTATTTCAATATGTAACCCGCGACTTTTAAAACTCATAGTAGTATTAAGTCATTTTCAGTGGCTTAAATTGAGCCGTTTCACCCCTTAAGTCATTTTTAGTGGCGTAAATTAAAACGTCCCGACGCCACTAGTTTGTACAGTGCGAAACATGAGTACAATATTCCCATTAAGTCATGGGGGTAAACATAACGGCATGAGGAGTGATTTAGACGTTTACCGGCATAGTAGCACCAAGTTGTACAGCTTTTCAGCGATGAGTAAAAAGACAATGAAGCGTTCCAATGTCTGAGTTTATAGGTAGGTGCAGTTTCGTCTCGGTACACTAAACGTTAGATGTAAGAGTGGTTGGTAAGTAGGTTGGGAGCTGCACGAGGGCACAGGTAGCTCTCCTTTTCTTCCCATACCCTTGGAGTCATTCTCTATGTGGTTTTATATACATGTATGCACATGAACATTTTTACTCGGCAGTTGTGTCTGTGTCGTTATGCTGTACGTGATGGAACAGCGTATCTTATTGCACAAGTCGTGTGGAGGCAACTGGCCTACGTTTCCTGTCGCAAACCATTGGGTATGTCATACGGTGTATGAAGACTAATCCAATCGTGAGGGACATTACATTCACCAGGAGTTTTTAGGTGTGCGGTTTTTGCAGGGGCATTTGAAAATCATACGACGTTTTTTTTTATTTTTAATGTCTTTGAAACCAATGAAGGGAGTGGGACTTCGTTGAAAAGTTAAATGGGTGTCTTGAGACAACTTCATTCTTGAGATTTTTAGTTATTGACGAGTAAAAGCAATGTATTCATCCCATAGCATTAGGAAAAGTTTAAATTTCATGGAAAAAATATGGAAATTTAAGATTTCACAGAAAATGCAATGAAATTTCAAGTTTTTGGGCAACAAAAAGACGAAATATTCCCAACTTAAATTTTCATGGAATACTTGAATTAAGGATATGCAAGTATCTTTTACAGTTCGGTACAGACCACACTATAGATTTAACTATTTTCAATCACTATTTATGAATAAAGAATTGAAATTGTTAAAACTTTCGGAAACTATTTTTTTAGACATGAAATCAAATTCTGACAAAATTCTGAATATGAATAAACTTGTTACGATTCCAAACAAATGATTTTTATAGTGGAAAATAGAATAAAACGATTGTCATAGTCGATTTTTTATAAATTATTTATAAAAAATGTTGGTAATTTTCAAAAATTGCAATTTTTAAATTATTTCATTAATCTTCCTTCAAAAGAAAACTTTCTATTTTTTTATATTTTTAAAATGGTTTCTAACGATTTAATATCGAAATTTCAATTCAGACCTACAAAGTTTAAATAATAAAATCATTGTAAAATGTACGGAAGCTTAGGGTCAAATGGGGCTCAAATGAAAGCTCTGATGTTCCACTAGAAAACTACACGGAAAGAAATATTCAATAAAAATTACGTATCTTTTCCATAATTCCGGAGGGCCATGTGGTTGTAGGAAATTTGAGGAAATTGTCGTGTAATTTTTACCTAAAATCACAGAATTTTTCCAAAGCGTTCCGTAATTATTACCTGAATCTCCTGTGAAAAATTACGATACCGTCACTTAAATTTTCTGAGTCGATTCCGTAATCGGTGAACGAACTGTGAGTTCCGTAATTTTTACTGAACATTTCTCTCCATGTAAAGAAGCATTTCTTTGGACAAAAAATAGCCAAAGTACTCGGATATCCTTAAAATTGAAAATTTCCATTCACTTTTCCCTGAAGTTTTAAATTTTCAAGAAGTGTTTCGAAAATTTCAGCGATAAATTTTTAACAGCGAAATCACCACTTCCATATTTTTCAAGCTTTTAATTTTTTCCCTTCACGTTAAAACAACTCAAGCGTCATTGACCCTTGAATAAAGCCACTGCCTCATGTTCTCCTCCTCCCCCCCCCCAATGAAGGGTTACTTTTTCGGCCAATGAATAAATTAGCTGTGGAAAAAAAGTGAGCATGAGGCAAAGG